ATAAAAAAGAAATTCTTGTTGTAGTTTTTGCCTCATACCTAGTTTAATGGATTTCAGAATTTAGTTTAAAAATAAAATAGTTCCATTAAATAAATATCCATCTATGACCTTTATGTCATCAGTCATTTAATATTTGAAAGTGACATTGATTTATGTATTTACATATGAATTATCTATCTGTACTTCTCAATGTCCAATATTATAGAACTATTTAAAAATGTTCAAATCATGTTTAGGCCAACACATTAAAATCTATTCTAGAAACTGGATTATTTTTTAATTCTTTCATTTCAGCATTGTTGAACAGACTTACACTACTGCAGAATTTGTAAGTCAGGCTATTGATATCAATGAACCAGTTGGAAATCTAAAGAAACTGCTGGAACCAAGACTTCAGTGTTCCTTAGAAGCCCATGAAATCTGTTTGCAAGATATACAGGTATAAACGCAAATTGTTAAAGAGTTGTAAATAAATATCAGTTTTAGAGCTAGTTCGATTTAGTAGTAAATCAATATAGACTTAGTCCAATATACACCAGTCAAACATAGATTAATGTACACTTCTTTTGTACGTTTTTCAACCATTCTACTTATATTTCCCCTCATATCTGATACATTTATCAAACTAGTTGCTACCTTTTATATAAAAGTTTTTGAATTACTTAACGGAAAGTAAAGTTAATATTTATTTAGGAAAATAGAATATAATGTCAGGTATGATTTAGAGAAAGCTAAAAAATTATAGCAAGTAATTTAGCCTACTTTAAATGTGAAATACTAAAGTTTGGAATATAGTAGTATATGTTGAGGAAAGTTCTGGCTTCAGTGGTGGAAATAGATCTAGGATGCAAAACAAGCCTTTGATTATGAATACATCAGAAAAAAACAATATAATTTTGATTTATTCTGATGAATCAAATATTTTTGTGTATCTAAATGAGGGGAGCAGAAAGTTGTATTTTTATTTAAATGAAAATGCAGGAATATGTAGCTTATAGAGAATAACAGTACAGTACTGTTCAGTATAAATGCTATTTTCAACAAACTTCCCAAAACAAAAATTATTCCATCCTGGGGTGGGGGGAGGGAGGGGACTATTTTGATCTGCAACAATTTTGACATGTTAAACATGATACTAACTGTGATTCTTGAGATATTGCCATATAATATAGAAGAGTGTATATTTGTATGTACACATACAAATATCTTCAAAAAATATATTGATAGTTTTGTTATTTGTGATTGGGAAATAATGGTTTCACATGCTTACAGGTAGTCCTCAACCTATGACCACAGTTAAGCTTAAAATTTATGTTGCTAAGTAAGACAGTTAAGTAAATTTTGCCCCATTTTATGACCTTTCTTGCTACAACTTTTATGTGAATCACTACAGTTATTACGTTAGTAACACGATTAGTAAGTGAATCTGGCTTCCTCATTGATTTTGCTTGTCAGAAGGTCACAAAATATGATCACATGATCCAAGGCACTGCAACCATCATAAATATGAACCAGTTGCCAAAGTGTCTAAATTTTGATCATATACCATGGGGATGCTGCAATGGTTGTGTGAAAAACAGTCATAAATCACTTTTTCAGTGTTGTAATTTTGAATAGTCACTAAATGAATGGTTGTAAGTTGAAGACTGTGTTTGTAAAGTCAGTTTTTAAATTTATAAAAAATGTTCACATTGATAGTTATGAATTGTTGACTTCAACATTTTTCTAAATTTCCTTTAATTATCAAGCTGGATCCAGACCGTAGTTTGTTTGATCAAGGTGTCAAAACAGATGGAACTGTGCAGCTTAGTGTCCAAGTAATATCGAGGCAAGGTAAATTGTTAAGGCTTATCTAATCAAAAATAGGTTTTTGATGTGCATTGATATAAATAAAAAGACAAAGTGGTGGAGGGAACAGGAGAATACCATTGAAAGAATCACGATGCATCATTACTTTCTCACTTGCTTTCCTTTACCTTGTTTCATGAGATATATAATATAACTTTGAAAAGACTGAAATGAAATCCTTTGCTAATTAGTTCATATAGGATTTTTTTTTAATGAAGCTTACTGTTGTGGAGAATAATGGCTAATAACTTTTTCAGCACATGATTTTTAAAACTAAAACTACATTTAAAAAGGCAATCTTACAATCCTGTTCATTATGTTAATATTATGTTTAGATACCATACTGTTTCATTATTTATAAATACTATGTTTGTATATTCATTCATTTCCCTTTTCTGTATATAGGAATGGACCCAAAGTTAAACATCCTTGAAATTGTAAAACCGGTTGAAACAGTTGAGGTAGTCATTGATCCAGATGCCCATCATACTGAAACTGAAGCACACCTTGTTGAAGAAACTCAAGTAATAACATTAGATGGAACTAAACATATTACCACCATATCTGATGAAACATCAGAACAAGTAACTCGATGGGCTGCAGCATTAGAAGGGTACCGTAAAGAACAAGAACGCTTAGGAATACCCTATGGTAAGACATTGTATCATTAAATGATAAGAATTCGGGGTATATAAAATCAATTGAGGACACAGATAAGCCTCCAGGTAGCATTAACAACTCGCTAAAAGAATGCAAATGAACAGCTGTCTGCAAGGAGTATAAATGTTTCCATTCCACACCATCCAGTCAGAACTGAAGAAGCTTCTTGGATGAGAAGCGAAAAGTCTTCAGAGAAAAACAAGAAAGGCCAGTTGCCTCGTGAAAAAAAAATATCTTTGGTATAACTATGACCTAGATGACTGAGAATCTCTATAGACAAAATCCATTGCTCCGTACATCTCATTCCTCAGAATATGAAACGATCATCTATGTTTAATAGTTATCTAGAAGTAAACTTTCTAGAACAGGAGTTCCCAACCCCCGGTCCATGGATCAGTACTGGGCTGCAGCGTGCCAGCAACCTGTCCAGACAAACATGCAAAGCCCCATCCACGAGATGTAAGAAGCACATAAAACCACGCACCCTCTGGTCAGCCGAAAAACCTCTCCATAGAACTGGTCCCTGATGCCCAAAAGGTTGGGGACCTGTGTTCTAGAACATGCCATTTTAGACCACGCCTAAATCATGAACCATTTGTGTTATGGGAAATTTATTTCTATAAAATTACTCAACCACTCCTTCAAAGTCCAGGTTGGTACATTATGGTAAAAGAGTGGAACATTCTGGGGAATGCTGAAATGTTATGGCTCTGCATGTAACTCTTAAAACAAATTATTCTTTGGAATATCACTTTGATCTTCCCGTTTTATCCATTGCAAGTACTGTTTACCTTTATGTATTTTATAACTTTAAAAATGAAGTTCAGTTATTGTATAACAAGTTGCCGCAGATGGAATCAAACATTGTTTTATCTATTTAGTTACTATCAACAGACAGGAGTTTTTATAGCCTGTCTGGATATGCAACAATTGAATTTGGGGCTTGCAAATTAAAAAATGTGTTGTGATACTGAATTTTATTTACTATCAGCTACAATATCTATTGAAAACATATAGTGAATAGCATTGCAAGTAGTCCTTGACTTATGACTATTTGCTCAGTGACCATTCAAAGATATAATGGTACTGAACAAAGAGATTTAGAACTGGTTGTTAAAGTTGTGGTTGTTACAGCACCCATGCCGTCATGAGATCACAATTTGGGCACTTGGCAAACTTTTTATGACTGGTTGCCTAGTACCACGCAATCACTTGATTGCCATTTGCAACCTTTCCTGCTGACTCCTTCTGAAAGTTAGTGGGGAAGCCAGGAGGGAAGATTGCAAGTTGCTAGTTCCTCACCTGTACACCCACCCTAGTACCTCAGGCTCACACTGTTCTGGATCACTCACACAATTTTGTTGTAAAGTTTTTCTTTCCTAAAACTGATGATTCCGATGATAAATTCCAAATGATTCTGAAAGAAATTGCAATTGTAATTAATATTAGTATTAGGATTGAGCCTACTAATTCTCAGTTACTTCTGCTCATGACAATATTGCTGGAATTTTATGATGACTTAATTATTTTTGCAGAATATACATTATATAGAATATGTCATATTTCAGCATTGGGAAAAATGAATTCTTTGTATTTTCCTAGATCCAGTACAGTGGTCAACTGACCAGGTACTGCACTGGGTTGTATGGGTGATGAAGGAATTCAGCATGACGGACATTGACCTCAATACTCTTAGCATTCCGGGAAGAGAGCTGTGTAGCCTCGGCCAAGAAGATTTCTTCCAAAGAGTCCCTCGGGGAGAAATCCTTTGGAGCCATCTGGAACTTCTTCGAAAATGTATGTGCATTTTCTTAGCAAGTATGTTTTTAAAAAATAATAAATAAAATATTTTACATTGTGGATGTTCTACTTTTCACACAATGTATGCATGAAATGTGAATTTAAATACTATTTGGTTATGTGAAATTATAATCCATTTCTATCCTTGCAGTTTTTAGAAAAGAAATCTTAGCATCGTTTGAAAGATATGATACTATAAAACAGTACAATTATTTTACTATTGAAATGTCAATGCTTATGTTTTTCTATTTAATAAAACAATTTTGTACAAATTTTAAAAGATTTCAGTCTGCCTCTAAAAGATAAGCAGATGTTTCAAATGCACAATTTTCTATAACATTATAGATATCCAATATATTTTATATATTTTTATTTATGTATTAGTTGCTCCAGGTGAAATTGACTTTAAACAGCATATATCCAGCCTTCGTAAATTAAATTCAAAACATACAGTAAGCAATACAATAACATAGCTACCACAGTTCATAAAATAGCACCATATAAACAACAGGACCTGTGAATCTAATCCATTCACATCCACCAAACATAAAACAGCTGTTGTTGCAAAAAGTAGATCATACAGTACCACTTTCCAAGGCCTGGTGAAAAAGACATTTTTGCGTGGTCTTCCCAAAAGTCATTGTGTGTGTGTGGTATGTTTGGATATCCAGTCAAGTGCTGTTCTGTAGAGGAAGGTCAGTGACTGAGAATGCTTGTCTCTGTGATGCCTAAAGATGGCTGTCCTGTATCAAATAAACATTAAATTAGCCACCTGACTAAATATTATTTGACAGGTAGATACTACTGGGAATCTAGCTAATATCCCCCTCCTCAACCATACAAAGTTAAATAAATCCATCTCACCCCTCAGTGTCACTCTTAACAAAAACATATCCATTCATAATGAAACATTTTCAATAGCAGAAGTTAACTGGTGAAAAAGACTGGGGATTTAAAGAAAAAGTATGAAAGGAAATTGACCTATAGAATTTATAATGTAATTAACATAATTCATAAGTGAAAAATACCTTTGTTTCCTGCTTAAATTTATAGTAGGATGTACAAAATGTTCCAGATATAGAACAGCTGTTTTCGGGTTATTTGATCCATGCATAGAATGAAGAGGTTGCATTATCCTCAAGTAAAATGGAGTTTATTCAGGTAGAAGTGGTGGTGATGGTGGAATCAAGAAAAAAAAGCCCAGGACACTGTTAGGTTGAGGAAGGGAAGGCCCTGAAAAAATTGATGGGCAAATTGGCTGGTAAGATATACTCTCCTGGGTTATCAGTAGCAGCTGAAGGGAGAGAGGAAAGGCACTGTGATACAGGGGGATGGTCAGGCCTGTAGAACAAGCATGTCAAACTCGCAACGTCGCATGATGTCACAGAGCTTTTTCGCCATTGCCGGCAATGGGGTGGGCGCGGCTCTGGTATGATGAAACCGGCCTGCGGGCCGGCAGTTTCACACCCCTGCTGTAGAATATGTATTATGGAGTATCAGCAGTAATAATAGCTATGAGAAGATACTGGTAGGATGGAAGGGCAGATATCCTGTGCTGGCACCTTGGCTATGGCTATGGTGATAGCTGAGAGCATGAATAAAAGTACTGAAAATAAGGGAGGCAGAGGTATGGTGGGATATGTGTGCTGGGATATTGCCTGAGAAAATAGGGAAGGGAAAGTTAAGAAGGAAGGCTAGTGGGATTTGCCACTCTGAGAGCTTTAGAGGGGGTAAAGAGAGAAATTCTTCCCAACCTTGCTCTGTTTGCTCTACCTAGATTTTCTTTTTCTTTTTTCTTTGTCTAAAACTCGAATAATAAAAGCATTGGGGTTTCAGTCCTGCCAAACTGGCTAATCTGAAACAGTTTTTCAGAACACACAGAATATAATGAATTCTTCTGGCTTCAAACAAAATAAAATCTATTTTGTCCTACCTTAAGTTTATCATACTGTACCTAAAATTCTCACATCCTTTTTATATCGTTCCTTGTTTATCAAACTGCAATAACATTTTCTTATAGCAAAACTTTGTCTTTATTATGTATTGCAGATGTACTAGCTAGCCAGGAACACTCTGGAGAAATAGCGACAGTTACTATTGATCAACGTAAGTTGTCATTCTTTGAATACTTATGAAAGAAAAATATTTTAATCAGGGACTTAAAGTGTAAAAACAGAAACAGCTTTTATAAAAGTTAAATCTGCAATTTAAAGTATCTATAATTAAATTAAATTGATTTTTTTTTACTGAGAAAAGATCATTCTGCTAGATATATTCAGGTTTTTATACTTGGACTAAAATTATGTTACTACTGAACAACCTAGTTAATACTTGATTTATATCCCCCTTCCAAAAATAACTTAATTGTAAAGAGTATTTTCTGAGCCTATTGCCAGATCCAGAACCAACAGCCTCCAGGTATAGGTTCAGGCTTTTCTTTAGATCTCTGATTTCACCTTGGGTGTTATCAGCTCATTTGAAGTAAGAAGCTTACTATAGATGTTAATGAATTAACTTCTGTGAGTTGTTGGGAAAAGAGAAGGAGGAAGGATCATTACATATGTTTACCACCTTGAGTTATTTGTAAAAATAATAAAGGCAGGAAATAAATAAGCAGACAAACACATACATAAATATTGAGGGAGCTAGGAAAAGCGATGGGCTCATATTGGAGTAAATAAGGCCTTTAGTTCTATTTCTCCTTAAATATACACTGAAACTACCTACTCAGGAGTAGAACCACTACAAAACAATGTCTCCAACTCCCATTCACTTCAGGCAGCCCAGTAATAACATCAGTAATAGAGGTTCAGTAGGACCAAGAGCTTCATGCAGATCCTGTTGGCCATCATCAAGAATGACAAACTCCCATTTTCATCCCATGATAGAATCAGAATTTTAACTGACAGAAATACAGAAAAATCCATTTTTCTAGGACTGCAGGAACAGCCATGATTGCTTTCTCAAAAAGTTCCTCCAAAAAGGCAAAAAGTTGAAGCAAATGGAAGTTATCAAGTTGAGTCCAGGGAGGGCTTCTTCAAAAGAGAATTCAACATTATTTTCAAAGAAACATTTATAATTTCCCTGATCCAACAGTTCACACTCTTGTCTACCCAAAGGAACCAAGCAAAGCATGGAAATAGGCCATAGTGGTAGAACTCACTCTCAGAGAACTCTATCTGCTTCCTCAGTAAGTTCAAAAGAATCTTGTCTGAGTGAGAGTGAACAAGGATCAAGTCTGGTTAGTATTTGGATGAGACCCACAAGGGATTAACAGGGTTGTAGGTTGGACTGAGAAGTGGAAAAAACTTCCATGAAGTGTTTTGTGGCTTTGTTCCTAAGAAGATTACATGGATATGCCCATAAAGTCATCAGGAGTTAAGCTCTATTTGAAATCCACGTTGTATTTTCTCATAAATGTTTCAATTTAAGTTCCATTTTTAGTTTACATGTAGAATACAGGTTACAGATATAAGGGTTAGGTTAGGTTGCTGGTTCATTATATATTCCTTTTTTTCATTATAGCATGTTAAGCAGAATATTATGCATTGCTTATTAAAAATTTCTAATATCCTGAGAGGTCTTCTCTGTTATTGTTGGAAACAGCAGTTTTTAATGTGTTTTGTTATTTGTAAATTTATTGTCTCATGCCTTGTCCTCTATAGCTGTGCAGATTATTCCAGCTTCAGTTCAGCCTTCTACTCCAACCACCATTAAAGTAATTAATAGTAGTGCAAAGACAGCAAAAGTACAAAGAGCTCCAAGGATTTCAGGGGAAGATAGAAGTTCACCTGGTAACAGAACAGGTATTTTTTTTTCTAAAAGCAAATCTTTTAATTATTATTCTAAAGAAAGACAATGATTTTAAAGTTAAGCAAAGTACATTGCCAAGCATTTGTGAAAACAAATCTAAAAAATGAAGTATAATTTCTGGAAATATAAAACTATATAAAGACATGCTTTGTATTTCATTGCTCTCGTATTTTAAGGTTTTCCATGCGTATTTGGTTGAGAAATTAGATATTTTCTCCAGTAAAGAGAAAGCATCAGTTTAAGGACTGAATTATTTACTTATGAATTATGATTTTTTTTATTTTCAGTTTAATGGTTTCCCCCAAAATTGTTGTTTGAAATAATTTAGCCACCTTTATTTTTTTCCAAAAATAATGTTAGTAACTCAGAAGGTTTCAATCCCAAGGATGTTTAATCATATCTCATTAAATTTATGTTTATATTTTATGCAAGACTCTTCAAGAATTTTCTTGATACCTATATTCCAAAGAAAATGTAGGAGAGCCATGTTAATTATGGCAACAACAAAAAATCAGGAGTCTGGTGGCACCTTCCCAACTAACACATTTTATTAAAACTTTCATGAAGTGATTGGTTACAAACAGCACTAAGCACTTTTCTTAAGAAACTTTGTCAGTTGGGATTAGAATGCAGCACTTCACAAATAGATACATTAGCATTAACTAAAATGAATTAGAATTAACTAAAATATTAAAAACCAAGCTTTTGAATTAAAAAATATTTTAATTGAGCTAGCTCAGTCTTCTTCAAGCTGCCTGATATCCAGAAATGTGAGTATCTATCTATTCCTATGATATTTAGCAGTGGTGATGTCAGAGAAGTTAGTTCTTACTTGTGGAGCATGCCCAAATTATGGAAGGCTTATATAAATTGTAAAAATATTTAGGCATATTTTATTCTTGAATTCTAACCTGTAGAATTTTAATAAGCAGAAAGCTTGGTCTCTTCTTCCACATTTTAGTTGATCTTGATGAAGATTTCCTATTGTTACATTAATTTCTTCTTTTTAAATAGATTACAGATAGTCTTTGCTTGCTGACTGCTCTTTCAGCGACTGTTCAAAGTTGTGATGGTGCAAAAAGGAGATATGTGACTGGTCCTCAAAGATGTAGTTAGCATCGCATCCCCACAGACATGTGATTGTGATTTAAGCACCTGGCAACCAGTATACTTTATGATGGTCACAGTGTTCCACAGTGACATGATTGCTATTTGCAACCTTCACAGCTGGCTTCCAACAGGCAAAGTCAATGGGAAAGCTGGAAGGAAGCAATCACATGATATTATGCTTAATAACTATAGGTGCTTTGCTTAATGACTGCAGCCAGAACTGATGAAATTTTGGAGTGGTCACATGACATTTCACTGATTGCATTGCTTAGCAACAGAGTTGCCAGTTCCAGTTGTGGTTAGTAAGCAAGGATTACCTATACAGAGTTACCTAAATTTTATGTCTTTACTATTTTATTCCGCTCTTTTGCTTGCTTTAACTTTATAAATAGATGAAAATACTTAATATATATATATATATATTTGCATATTAATCATCATAGGAAACAATGGTCAGATCCAGTTATGGCAATTCTTGCTTGAGCTTCTGACTGATAAAGATGCCCGAGATTGCATTTCATGGGTTGGTGACGAAGGAGAGTTTAAACTAAATCAACCAGAACTAGTTGCCCAGAAATGGGGACAACGTAAAAATAAACCTACAATGAATTATGAAAAGCTCAGTCGTGCTTTACGGTAAGTTAAAAAATTTGATTAATTTTATAGCGTTATTACATTGCTTTTCAGCTGAAAGTTCTAGAATAATAGACATGATCCATAAAAGCTTTACAGGCCCCCATCTATAATCCTATAATATAAGCAGCAAAATGAAGAAAAATGTAAGTTGGATTCAGTTTTCAAAATTAAATGATTAATTAACATCAAAATGTTTAAAGTAGAGGAGGAGTCTGTTGGAGCTGACTATTCAGCAAAGCTTTCTTTGCTACTTTCCATCTCTTTTATCTTCATGAGAATTGTGAGGAGGGGCTGTTAGGCATTTTCACAAATTCCTTTCTAGGGTTGGGCTCAGGTTTTGTTCATCTGATTCTTGCCTTGATAGCGGATCTTCCCTCTGACCTTCAAGACTTTCCTTTTTAGTCACTGGAGTAGCTTATAAAATATAAATAATTAACGTTAAAATAAAAACCAAGGAAAGAGAAATCATAGAAATAACAGTGAAATTAGTAATATCTAAGTTGAGAAACAGAAAATCAGTTAAACACTATACAGCAGGGGTGTCAAACTGCCAGCCCACAGACCGGTTTTATCATGCCGAAGCTGCACCCACCCCATTGCCGGCAATGCAAAAAGAGTTGTGATACGTCGCGACACGTCACGTGACGTGACGAGTTTGACACCCGTGCTATACAGCAAAAAGTACATCATAAACCACCCTGCCATACAGCCTCCTTAAAAAAAGGCTTTTCTAAAGCCCAACACAGTGTAGGAAAACTCTTTGGACTTCAAGTCAGGAGAAAAGTGGTTCCAGAAGGCAGAGGTATCCACATAAAAATATGTGGTACAGCCTATGTGTAAACCATGAATTCTGTAATAAAGTACTTCTTTCCATTTTTAGTGGAGTTTTCAGTCTTCCATCTTCAATTGGTGTCATTTATACTTTCAAATTACACTATAATGACAAAAGGAAAATGTTTTTCTAATATTGTAAAATCCTTTTATGTTTCTTTCAACTAAAAAGCTTCACATTCTATTGCTCATTATGAAAATACTCCTCTAATACATGGCTTGTTTGTTTCAAATGTTTATTTACTTGTCTGCAAACTTGCTTACAGGCTGCTTCAATCAAAATTAATTCCGACATGATTTCCCTCTCAGTTAAGACAAAGGAAGTAGTTTAGAGAAATGCCACATATTTTTTAAAAAAAATAGTGTTTGGGATCAATCTTTTTGCTAACTTAAAGGATTTAGTTGCCTTTTTTTCCCCTATCAGATTTTATACATCCACTGTTTTCTGTTTCTCCTAAATATTCTCCAGTCTGAACACTGGATATTTCATGAAGCCAGTACATAGGAGGATGCACAGAAATATCATAGATGATTTGAATCATGCAATCTGTGCTTTAATAATGTATATTTTAGCTGCAGCATTTAATAATTCGATAGCGATATGCAGGAAATCATAGTTCTGGCAGTTATAAAGGCTGGTTAAGCTCAAATTTAAATGAAATGGAGATTACCTAACATGATATGGATGAGCTTCTCTTAATATTTTGTATCACCTGCATCTCTGCTTTATAGTTTCTGAATTGGCACAGATTTTGTGGGAATCAAGGAAAAAAAGATAATCCATTCTATTGCAAAAGCCTAGATTTCACAAATTTTAAAAAATGGGCCAGGTTCAATTACTTTTCATTGTCTTCTTGTTGCATTTCCTTTCCTCAATGAAGGTATTACTACGATGGTGACATGATCTGCAAAGTACAAGGCAAAAGGTTTGTATACAAGTTTGTGTGTGACTTGAAGACTCTAATTGGGTACAGTGCAGCAGAACTGAATCGATTGGTGACAGAATGCGAACAAAAGAAACTGGCAAAGATGCAACTGCATGGGATTACACAACCGGTCACAGCAGTTGCATTGGCTACAGCATCTCTGCAAACAGAAAAAGAGAACTGAGGACTAGGACCTAAAAGCTTGACAGCATTCTTTTACACTTAGCAGTTTCTGGTTTTAAAATTAGAACTGCATCTATTAATTGGCAATTCAATACGATGCATGATTTTCTACAAGAACGCTCATAAATTTGGGTCTTTTTCACTTAAAGATGTATTTCATGAATGTTAAGGGCACTCCACAAATTCTACAATATGAAGACATACTGGTTCTAGTAAAGAGTTTGGGAATTATAAGGACATTGAAGATCTGTTGGTATTATGTTGTGCTCCATTGCTTATTTTTTCAGAGCTTAAAGTGAAGCATTCACATAATATAGAACAGTCAGATTTTTTAAAACATTTTGTTCTCTGCACTTCTTCAGATGCTATGTTAATAAATTTCTAAAATTACAAGTTTTTGTTAGCTATCCTCATAACTTTAAGCATGACAGGTTGTAAGGAAAACATTGATATAAAGGTGATTTCTTTGCCCCTTAGCAAGAAAAAAGGTAACTGCTGAAAAGAGAAATCCAAATTTAATTCCAATAAACCAATTATGAATATTTTGATATCTGTAGATAAATGTGAGGAAAATGCTTAACTATCTTGAGAAAATTTGTTAAGCTTAATGTTTGGCACAAAAAGATTTCCACATTTTTATTGTAGGAATTAAACACTTGAAATTTGTCTCTCATCCAAAGAATAAATTTGCTTTCTTTAATCTACACTGCAGATATATCAGCTGTTTTTTTGCTTTTATATTTGCATGGTAATTGTTTTTCAGCTGAAGACTTAAGTTAATCACAGAAAGAAACTCCTTCTTGTTTAGTAACAGAATTAAAGAATGGAGTTTGATTTCCCTAAGTCATATAAATGGTTGTGTTAAAAAAATTTAAAAAATACTTTCTTTAAATTACTTGGTTTCCAAGCTTTGTTTTAATGCTTTGGAAATAAAATAATTATAGAATTATTGAAAAAAGCAATAGTCCTGGAAATTGAAAATATTTTTAAAAATTATACCCAGTTGAAATCCAGAAATGCTGACAATAGTGCACTGTTTGTACCTGTGTTTTCTTTATTTTTTTTACTTATAAAACCTGGGAATCACATTCATGGGTATATTTACTCTTGGTTTATTTGGTATCAATATTATGAATTAAGGCCGTTAAAAGTTATGGTTCACTTAATCCAAAATGTAGTCAACTTAAATAGGATCTTTATCCTTTATCAACAATGTATTCAGTTGAATCTCATGTTTCCATAAAAAGCAGTGGTCATTACAATATGGCTTAGTTCTAAGAACCCTAGTCTTAGAGATGCTGTTACTTTTACAGGTCCACTAGTTTCTGAAGTATATTTCATGGTTTTATTTACTCATTTTCAAGTTACTAAAAAAATATACAGGAATATATTGTAGTGTTTAAGGATCATTTTGGGCAAAGAAAGCATGTAGTAATCTTGTGGCCAATTAAATCCCCTCACTCTGATGTGTAGCGAATACAAAATATTTCAAATTCCATTAATATTTTGTTATTTTTCCTTTTTCTTCCCCAATCTGTACAATAATTATAAAGAATTGTTCATTTGAAATATATATCAAGAATTAATGTTTTGTTTTCATAAGAACAAAAAAATGATAGTGTCACTCTTTCTATGCCAAAATAAGCTTTAGGATTGTTACTGCATAACAAGCAACATAGCTCAGATTACTCATTCATATTTATAAGTCTGTTCATTTTGACTCAGATTACTCTGATCACAAGTTAGTTAATGCTATTATAGCTATTCTCTCAGCTATGCATATACTAGAATAAGCCATAGTAAGGAACATGGCATATGGCCTCTTTTTTATATACATTGATTTTTTTTCAGAATTTCAAATTTTCATTGTATTTTTTTAGACGTTTGCTGCACTTGTTACATTTGTTCCAGTTTATAGCGCTGATGTATGTTAAGCCTTGCTTATAACAGAACCAAGGAAAGGATAAAAAAGTTAGAAATATTTTGTTGTATTTCTTGTGAGGGACAATCTGTGACTAATTTGAGGTCTTCAGTATAAGGGTATGGAATATTATATGTGAAATGGCATTGTGTGGCTGTCAGAAGAATAATATAGATCGTATATTCCCAAATTTTTGTAAAATAGAGGGTTTGCATACATTTTTACTCTTCAAGGACATGTGCTCTAAAATTATGTATTTCCTTTTGTGTTGAATGTTTTGGTAATTTTACATGAAACAATTATTTTCTATTTTTACGCTAAAATATTTGTGCATAAAATTGTCAATATAGTAAAAGTAAAAAATAAAATAAAATTTTACACAGCAGTTTTGTCCAAATATGAATTATTCATAGTTTTTGTAGGTCTGCACCCTAAACATTCTGGAACTATGATACTGATTGCTTTAGATCTGTTGTCACATAATCAAGAGATTTGGGCCCTTGAACTACATCAGTTCAAAACTACAAGAAAGATTTTTCTTACGATTGTTTTAATTGGAAACTTTCTTTTACAAAACAATATTGTTCTTTAAACAATAAATGTACTAGATTAAAACATGAAACTGTTTGATCTAAAATGGCTTTTACATATTTTTATACATTTTTTTTAACCAAAACGTGCTTAAAACAATTCCTTGTTGGACAATTAATAGGCTTTTTTATAAAAGGCATTTTAGTTAATGTGATAAAATGTTCTTACTGCACTACTTGTATGCTAAGTGATTAGTATTAATCCAAACAATAAGCTCTTAATATTAACTTCTGTCCCCACAGGAGAATCAATATATAGAAATATACATTAATAATATAAGTTTAGTCTTTTGTAATTGTAATAGAACTGAGAGATACAGAATAGACAAGTCTCATGAAATTACGAAAGTGCTGAATCTTTGCAAATATAGGCTCTAATCACAATTAAACCACTGTAGGAGAAATTTCCTCCAGTTGATTCTGGTGTGAAGCATGGTTAGGTAGCTACTTACATTTAGTAAAACAAAGAAACGGGAATAGAATACTTAATTTCCAGACTCCTAGTCTGGAAGCAAAAGGTTATCAAAAAATTTAACTAATATGCATCCTTCTAAAAAAGTAGTGCCCATTCCAATTATGATTGTGAGCAAATTAACAGTGAGCAATTTTGCCTCAAAGGCTGCAAATTGAATTAATTTCCTTCCACTGCCTTTAATGCTACAATGCTGAGTAGCTTGAGAACTGTACTTGTATATAAGTATACATTTAAGGAAAATAAAATTTACAAATTCTGTATTTTCCTGACTATACAGAAGAAAATAACATGATGCAAGCTAGGTAAAAATTACTCTTAGGGGTTTTTTCCTGGACTGTTCAGTGGCAGGGATAGGTGGCTGTAAAGATGCAGGGGGCTGAGCATATCATAGATTACTAATTGGTGTGTGATTATTACCATAGAAGATACGATATAATCTAGTGCGCCAGGAGTTTTTTGACTAAAAATATATCCTTTCCTGCTTACCAGAATGCAGTCACTTCTTTTGTTAGTTATTTACAAAACTTAAAAAGTACGTTTCTTGAAATGTTAATCCCCTGCTTCCTCAAATATCCTCCTTAGCAGAAGATTATCAACCTTGAAAGTTTTGATAAGATTTCAATAATCCACAACAACATTAAGGAAGGCTTGTAAGGGTCAGCTTCCCAAATTTAGTGTTTACCAGGAATGCCTGAGCATTCTTCATGGAATGAAGCATACAATCAAGCAAGTGATGTAGGGCAGTTATCACAGAATCACACTAATACAATAAAACTCCTCCAGGAATGTATTTATTTACATTAAAACACTATTATACAAACTGAAAAAAGAGACATTTTAGAGGGAAGGCATGCCAAGGCAAACACCCTCTCACCCACTGCTAGTTTTATCTATTGTATTTAAAGAAGAAATTCTATGAATCATGTCTTTTTGCAGAAGAAAAAAAAACCCTAGCTCACCCCTCCCAACCCTCCCACTTGATGGCATTATTAAAATTATTCCTCCCACAATGTAATTTCTCCATCCAAGTAAAACTCTTGCCCAATAGTCTTATTTGTAATTTATTTATGTAACACAGTATAGAAAGCTTATCAATTCATAAGCAACAATTCTGTATATTAACCTGCAGAAACATCTGTAGGTTCCCTGTTATTTTTTAAACCAGCAGGCACTTCTCCCATCCTTCCCCTTCACCCTGCCCTGGTATAAAAGTGCTCATGATTAACAGGGATGATGCTTTTTCTTTCTTTCTTTCTTTTTTAGATGAAAAGATACAAAAAACTTTACTCCCTCAATGCCTAAAGGTGTGCACATAAAACAGGCACAAAGAAACAAATGTGTATTCCCATGATTTTCTACATCACTAGTGCAGCAGAAGCAACAATCTGTACAATAAAATGCAACTGCAGAGGAAAATAACTCATCTGGAATACTTTCTAAAAAAAAATAAATCCCAAAACATTTTGTTTTTAAAATGCATAGTAAGCAGAAAAAGGAAAACTCGGCAAAGAGAAGCAGCTCAATCCCACATACACAAAAAACATCCCCCATCAATTCTTAAAAGTATATTTCAATTAGGACTTAATTTTTTTTTGTTCATCACAAATCACAAGAATAATATACAACTGGCTAAAGGAGCTGTATGATAAATAATCAAGAAATAATCTATTCATGCACTAGTTAAGTACAGCTAACTTTACAGTACACAAAAACATTCATTAATAATGTAGTGTAAAGACTGAAATGTCAAGAAAGAGTACATTACTGATTTTATAATTCAAGTTCAGGCATCTACTTGTGTTACAGCACAGCTGTCAAAAGGCGATAATGAGTAAATAATAAAACATTGTTTTGTTTGCTTATTTCCATATTACTTTCAGCTGAACATCGATGGGCAGTGAAGCAATCACTTTGCTGTCCAATTCATGAGGTTGCTATGGTGTTCTAGTTCTGCATTTGCTCAAAGAACTTGTAGGTTGGGTTTTCATAGCCATTTTGTTGCATCTTAGAAAGGTGACGTTCCTCTGGTGTCACTGCAGCATCCACCTAGAGCAGGACAAAGGAGAGTACAGTCAAAGCCAAACATGGACAGGCCACAATTGTTTGTGGGGTCTTTTGGTGCTCTCTGAGCTTGCTTGTTTTCTTGCAGGTGTTTTGTTACCAAACTAGATAACATCATCAGTGCTAAGTGGGGTTTACAGTTATTTTATATCTTAGTGGCCATTAAATACATAAAATGATAGCAAACCTCATTCCGTACAAACAATAGCCACAAGAAAACCATCAAGCTCAGAGATCACCAAGGACCTCAACAGTTCAACTCTGAGCTACAAATATTCTTTTCTATCGGTAGAATTGGTTTATTTATTCATTCACAGCATTGGTATTCCCTTTATTTGTACAACTCTAGCAATGCAAAGCTAAATCATCCATACAATAATTAAATATATTAAAATCTGTTATTGCCTTATTAAAATCGTCACCAGCTGCTTGAAGGGCAAAAGGATGGGGTCCAGTCTGCATACAAGATACATAAATTTTGTCATATAATTGCTTACTTGTTATCATAGTAATAACACTGTAATACTAATACAGTTTAATGAATTTATTTATAGTATGGACTGGCATGATACTTTCCGAGTTTGATAAAGATATACTATCATTGGAAAATAGGGCAAGTTGAATCAAAATATTTTAGATGTGCCACTGATCAAATTTAGTAGTTTCTTTTGAACTATTAATTTTCTTTTGAACATTACAAACACTGGGATTGTATAATTATTACTGTTATTTTTGTGACCACTAACAATCATGACAGTATCTGAGCTTCTATTGGTTAACAGGCAATGTTGAATATATCCTCCTCAATTTTTATATGGAGGTATTGGAATAACATTTCTAGATATAAGAAATACTGTATAAAATTCACTGTTTATTTAACATTTGTTTAAGCTGCTTAAAAAGTAGGTGAATGTTCAGTCCTGTAATATAGTCATTCAAATCACTCAAATGAGGATTGGTCCTGGAAAACATCAGAGCTGTCATTCACTGTCTTTTACTTCCCAATAGATGTTATGCAGAAAGACAATACAGTCAGTGCTTTGGTCCACAGCTTAAAACATTCTGTAATTTAATACCTTTAAAAAGGTGAGATGTACCTTTTTAATACCTTGAGACTACAGAGATAGGAAATCTATTCCATGCTATTATGTGGGTGATATAGAGAAACAACTAAAGTTTCAGTTTAAGCATTCTTTTGGAGCACAGGTCTATGTATCTAACATAGGAATATTAAGCTGGAGAAATTGACCCATACTAAAAAGAAGAATATTAAGAATACAGATGACATATCTCATATCATATAAGCAGTTAATACCATTCTACTAAATACACAATTTACACAGATGGATTTAAATCTATTTAGTATTGTCTTCTTCTGAAATAATGAATGGAATAATATTAATCAGTTTCATTTACCTCCACTACACCATGATGGATAGAGGTATACTGTTTCTTCTTTAGCATCACTAAAGTGATAACAATGACTGTGGCAATGACGACACCCCCTACCATTAGTCCAATTATGGCACCTTTGTTTGAACCTACATCTTCAGCAAAGAATACCTAAATAAAAATAATAGGTTATCGTATAAGAAGTTAACATGATTTCCAATGTATTTTTTAGCTTTACAAAATGATGCATTTGCAATGTACAATCCAATAATTTCTCCAAAGTAAACAAGTTTAAATACCTAAATATTGTTTCCTAAGGCAAATTGTTATGATCTGATTCTCCCTGCAGGAGTTGACCAAATAGGCTGAGGCCAGTAGAACATATGCTGAGGAATTCCAAATCAATTTTTTTTTAAAAAAAGGTGGCATTTTAAGGCAAACAAATTGTATCATCAAGTTTAAAGGATAAAAAATACTGAGCCCTTGTTCTTAAACAAATACTTTTCAATACTCTTTTAAGCGTTTCCTTGGCATGTGACCAACAGAATAATTAAAAATTATAAGGGAAATTTTTCTCTGCTCACTTTGGCACCATAAAACAAATTCTCCCTCAAAGAATTTTACAAATATATATTTAATTCGTATGATTCTTGCAGATTACTCTCCAAAAGGAGATTCAAATTCAATGTATTTTGGGCTCCTCTCTTTAGCCCTCTTTAAACTTAAAAATTTCAATAAACCCGTGGTATGTAGTAAACTAGAAGGAACAGCAGGAGGCCTTCTCATTCAAGTGGGGATCTATCCACTCACATACAATGAAGATGGGAAATATGATAGTGGCCAATTTAAGAAGCAAACAA